CCCTCAATATTAGTGTGGACTCTGCTCTGTGAGTTTTGCTTCTTGTTAATAATTGAAACACTCTCCTATTTATCCATCAATATCAAATGGGGCTAGACAGGATTTCAGAACACTGTGGATAGTGAAATACATCTGTATAGTATACAGTTGTAATATTAATAATAATAATAATAGTGTATTATAGTAAAGTATATAGTATACAACATGGGAGGAGTAAATTATAGCATGTTTGTGAAGTTACAACACAAGACACATGAAAGCTGTAGATTGCATCACACACATATCAACCTGCATACACACATAAACACACATCGGCATTACCTGAATAAAATAGGTTTATACATTTAAATAAAAAAAGGAGATTTTGTTTTCAGAAAAACAGCATACTGATAATTATGGACAAATCATTTGAATTGTGTTACGCATTGATGCTTTATTGCTTTTGATGGAAAAGGAACTAGTCAACATAAGATGTGCAACAACTGCATATACTGCACTTGTAAGGAATCACACTACAGGTCTGGATTATTTGGATTTTATGGTCAGTTTATGAATTATTGACCAGCTGTTTGCCGCAAATTACTTTTCACTAGTTGTACAGCTGAGGCAGTGAGACTATTGCAATCCTTTTTAGTGCAAACCTTTGTATTCACACACTCTATCGTAAACCTTGGTATGTTTGCCATCTCGCATATGAGCAACTGAGGGGCAACAGTCTCATAGACGAAGAATTTTCATTTAGTGTTTACTGCCCACCTTTGTACCTCTACACTCGTATCGCATTAACACATGCTCTTTGGAGGCCACTGACATTCAAACACCAGCTCTCTAAGTCCTCAGTATTCTCCTGGTATTTCGTAGTTAGTTAGTTGGTGATTAGTGCCGCCATGGTAACAAACCTTGGGACCTGTTTATCGTGGTTCTAGCAACCTGGAGTGAGAAGTCGTTAGTTGAAACTCAAAATAGGCTGTAGTACTAAACTATAAATTACTAAAATACACTTCCTAAATATAAAAATGTGTAATACCAAACAGAATGCCAAAGCAAATAACCAGTCAGATGTCTATGTGGACAATTAAATCAGGCTGAAATATTATGAACTGTCCACATGCAAATGTCAACTCCACCCATCCTGTATTCGTAAGTAATTAATTTCAGGTAAGACTTGGTCCATGTTCAGCGCTGCAGCATATTAACTGATTAATCTATCACATTCATTATGGTCTGACAGGCAAAATTGATTACGTACTGAGGTATTCTCTGAATTAATCAATAAATGCTGGCTGAAAACCAAATTGGATTTTTCTGAGAAGCCTCAGAGCTTAAGAGGAAATTGGTTTGGGAGCATTAGATTTTACTCTAATACTGTGTTGGTTATAGATAAAGACATTTAAGTCCTCATCACTTTGATACTTCTTTGACAGTGAAAATCAATGTACAGCAGTAAAAACTGTGGCCTATACCTTGTTGGCATTATGACAAATATGTACCTGAAGGTTATATTTAGGCAGTCAGGTCCAAATAAGCCTTTAGTACATTTCTACCAATTCTGTGAAATGGTATCATCACATTGAGTGTGTTTAGCTGAAGCTGATGGAAATATCATTAGTTTTGCAGGTATATGGGTCCATAAACAAAAATAGAAATGTATATTTAAAGCTCCCAAAGCTGTTTTCTTCAAGGGGACACAATGTTTCTTGTACCAGATTTCATGACAAACCAGATGTCGAGACATTTCAAGATGAAAAGTGAGGATATCACCAAAGTCATTAATATTTAGTCATAATAGATTTCTGTTGTGACCATTGAAATTCAAAACCGCTAGTGTGGCTTATAGAAAAACATCTCCAAGCCATCCGTCCTCTCTGTAGTTACAAGACAGAGCTTCAAATTCTTTCTAAGGATTCCTGAAAGTTGCTGGTGCGATAAACTGCAGCCATTTTTCAATCAGCCTGCAGCCTGTGGGAACATGAGGTGGATTCTCTGACCATAAAATCTTTTTACAACTTCAAAACAACGCAATACGTTATAAATAAATGTTCAGCCCACTCTACTCTAGCGCCAAGGTAAGCAGTCTACTCCTGTATTTACACTGTCTGCAGTTTTCCTCCAGAGATCACACTTTGTGTTAAACTGAGTAAGAAATCACAGACTTTTCCAAAAACACATCCAAGGGCACAAAACATTACGCTCCTGTTACAAAACAAGCTGTAGCTGACCTTGCTTGACATTATTACCATCATTGCTGATATTGCCCGACAAGTTATTACTAAGTGTCTGGCATGTGAAGCTGTAATTAAAGTACACAAAACAGGACACAAACTCATCAAAGTCCCACACCTTTTTAATCCCTCTTAATGTTCTGACTGTAACTGCCTGTTGGTATTATGTTTCTCACCTCATAGGCATTCCTGTGTTCTGGATTGGCCTCACAGTTGAGTGATTCATCACCTGCCAGATCAATGGCGACGACTCCCTCATTGCAATATTTCTTACACAGCTGCACGACATCCATGGACCAGCCTGGAGAATTTAGAATACACAAATATTACAACACAGTTTGGTCCTGCGACTTAAGCACAGACATGCAGATGATGTGTAGATAAAATGTAATGACACGGTCTAAGCATCATGCTACATCATCTGCATCAGTCTACAGCTATGACAAGCACAAGACGACATTGCGATATGGGGTAGTTACTGTATTTGTCTGACTGAGAGTAACAAAGCTAGCTGTTTCCCCCTGCCTCCAGTCTTTATGCTAAGCTAAGCTAAGCATCTAATTGCAGTAGCTTCACATTTACCCCACAGACATGAGAGTGGTGTCAGTGATCTTATCTAACTCTCGGTAAGAAACTATTTCTTTAATTTGCTGCATCACATCTC